ATTTTACCACTTTAGCATTCGTGGTCTAACCTCAGGCAGGAATAGGGGGACCAAGGACGTGTGCACATAAAACTAGAGCTGCGTGAAACATGATAAAATAATTTATTGTTATGTAAAAAATTATGAAAGAAAATTTTAAGAGTTATGTGTAGTACACAAACCTTTAGAAGAAAGAAAAAACCAGTAATGTATCAAAGTGAATGATCCTTCCTTATTTTCATTGTACTGACATTCAGTTGCTCGATAAAAAATTCACATACTGCAACTGACCAATTATACGCAATAAAAGTTTTTACATCCTCGCAAATAGAAGAAAACTCTTTCAACACTCTAAAATTGATTAAAGGAAAAAGTAAATTTGACATTAATTTGATTAATAATTGCAAAATGTTATGAGAGGACTCCTTCGATGAAAAGTTGAGTAGTGCGGTATTTATTTATCTCGCATTCATACTACCAAGCAGAACATTATTACAACATGCAGGTAACTCTCTATTGGGCATACCCATCAGGAGTGCAACTTCATGTTAATCAAATTTAAACTTTTTTTCTCCCAATTTGAATGTCATTCGATCAATATCCCAATAGTTTATTATGTGCATTGTCAGCATATGATCTTGAGGGTACGGAGGGAGTTCAAAAAACTGAGCCAAACTCATAGCTTTCAATTTATTCCATGTGTCCTCGTCGACTGATGATTGAACCTTATCGAGAATTTCTCGTACTGCAGGTGGACGATATATGCAATTCATTAATTTTGCGCTAAAAAACCTACAAGAATGCAATAAAATAGTTTAATATCAAATAAAAATCTGAATGACTACAAAAATGGTGAATTTAAAAAAAAATTCAACAATAACTTTTCAATAAAATAAATTTAACTGCAACATTTAGGAAAACATGATGATCTTTGTTGACAAATATGGTGAATTCAACACTTCTATTTTGAGAAACAACGAGCCTTCATTTAAAAATAATTTAACACGACAAATTGAGTGAATTAAATAGTTTTATTTTGACAATTTGCATTACAACAGATAAACTATCTAAAATGACTTCCAAAACACAAATTTTTCTTATTGATAAAGAGTTTATAATGTATTAAAAGTGTCATGTAATGTGTTCACAAAATTCTTTATGACCACATGATAACAACATTAACCAAGCTTTATGGATTGGAAAATATAATCTAAATAATACCTAGAAATGGTTTGGGGCTGTTTAATAGATTCACTGTCCTCCTTTTTGTAGTACTCCTTAATGCCGACCTTCACCAATTGCTTTGCCTCCTCGTATTCCAACTTATTAGCTTCTCCCAAATTAGCAACCTTAGCCTCTTCCAACCCGGTTTTCTTAGTCTCCTCCTTATCTTCCATTTTAATCTTCCTTAATAGAAGCAATTTGAAACCTTGATGTCGTAACCTTGAAAAGGAAGACGAGGAAGCAAACCTTAGCGACACGTGAATCCCTATTTTTCGAAAATGATTTCTTAATGTATTGGGTTTTAATTTTTACCACGGGTTAATGAGTTATAATACACTATTGCGGAGGATATACAAATGTTACAAGTACGTAATTAAGGGTTACATGAGGGTTACACGAGCGGCTTCGCAGTGACGGGCTTAATAGTCCTTTACATCATAGTTACAATCGAGTCACACGAAGGGTACACTCTCGGTTCAACGGCGACGAGATTATAGGGAAGTTACACTCAGGTTATACGCGCGGTACCGCTGCCAGAGTGGAGAAGGTTGCACACGGGTTACAACAGGGTTACAAGCGCATTATTGGAGGCTGACCGCAGAAGGCATTCCATGGATACAGAGGGGCTACAATTAACTTAACATCTTGGGCCAGGTCGACGAGTCACGCGCAATGAAACATCTATTTATTTTATAAGTTACAAGTCGTGGGCTCAGAGGGCCCGTTTGGGACAGCTTATAAGTATTGCGGCGTTTTGAAAACACCGCCTCACAGTTTGGTACCCACTTATGGAGAGATTATTGAAAAATGCGTTTTCTAAATTGCAAAAGACGCGGACCGTAGGGGTCAAACCCCGCGCGGTCCGCGTTTTCGGATTCCAATTTACGCATATTGCCCTCGATCCCGCTCCCGTGACCTTGCTTTTTCCTTCGCCTCTCCCGTGACCCTAGATTCTCCTCTCGCTCTCGGGATCATTTGTGATTCATTTTCCCAAACAACTTTAAGGCAGTTTCAGAACCGACACAGCAACCTTTTGCATTCACGTGGAATTTTCACCATTAAGCAAAAGTACTATCACCATGCGTATGTTTCAAAAACATGGAAAGTCTCTCAAAAGTTCTTGAGCTTCATAGTTACGTCCTAATATGCCAAAATGATTTGAATCCTTAAATTAACTATATATATGATATATAAGGAGGTACTGGATAATCATGCAATTTTATATAACCAGCTTTCAGATGTTGTTCCATTGCTAGGCCCCAACTCCTATCAATAATATGTCTCAGCCATAATCAGAGTGCAATTTGCACACATTTTGCACAAAGTCAAGATTTACATACATAACACTCAAAGATTTACATACATGTCGAGATTTACATACATATCCTTATGTCTAATGTTAGCAGATCTTACATTTATAACAACCAAACATTTACATACATATCACTCAAAGATTTAGAAATCTTACTTTTATAACAACCAAAGATTTACATACATACCACTCAAAGATTTACATACATGTCACTCAAAGATATACATATGTTACATTCAAAGAATTGCATAATAATTGGTGATGAAGCTTCTTAATAGTATGGAATTGTCTGTAGCAAACAGTGTCAGATGTAGTTTGTATCATGGGCACCAGTATGACTTGCTTTAGTTGTTCCAAGCTTCGATGTGATCTCATGGGCACCAATACTGCTTACTTTAGATGCTCCATGATTTCAGCTACAAAGATAGATTTTCTCGAGTGTGAATTGTAGCAAACTCTGTCAGAACATACATAATTAAATGCAGATGTCAGTAGTCATCAAAATTAATATGGAATTTAATACTCCAAGTCATATATGTTTTAGTTTTCAATGAAAAAGATAAAAACATAATACACCGTTAAGTTTATACTGTCTAAAGTTATATGGACTTAAAAATAAAGCCACAAGGATTCGATGAACATAGCACTAGCGTCTGATTAATATAAAGTTTATACGTTAATAAAAAATTGACTTGTACTCGATTCATTGAGAAATCAATAAAAAATTTTATTTACTAAATTTTTCTTGAGTTTTTGAAATAACCTCACCTTAAAAGAACTAGCATTATGGTAACAACTTGTAGCACTATATACTCTCAAAACTCCACTAAAACTTTATCAAGATTCCAAAAATAACTCTAAATCATTTATCTAATTTAAATTTTAATTAGATTCCAACAATCATTTATGTAATACAAATTTTAATTCACTAACTTTTTTCTTGAATTTTTTTTTATTCTCTCTAGTTTTTAATTGATCAACATTTTTTATATTAATCGTAGGATAATGAGCTCGAGATATTCAGGGAAGTCAGGGCAAATGATGTGCCGATGTGGGCTACCGTCATTGCTTTTTACATCATGACAGACACATAGTTACAGGCGACAATTCTACAGGTGCCCGCGGTGGGGACAAGGACCGGACGACTGCAAATTCTTCAGGTGGGCCGACAGTGGAACTATTTGTACGTGCTCTCAATTGGACACAACTGCTAGGAGTACAATAGTACGACAACGGGAGAACACCACAGGTGATTCGAGTTCTCACGTTTCTTCGATATCGCTGTCGGACATGTTTGCTCAAGGTTCTGGAGTGTTAGATGCAGGTGACATTTGTACGTGCTCTCAATTGGACACAACTGCTAGGAGTACAATAGTACGACAACGGGAGAACACCACAGGTGATTCGAGTTCTCACGTTTCTTCGATATCACTGTCGGACAGGTTTACTCAAGGTTCTGGAGTGTTAGATGCAGGTGGCATTGTCCGTGATATGCTGCTACATTATAAAGTTAACATTATCATATTTTTACTTATCATTTTAACATGTTATTTTTTCCTTTTTATGGGCTCTTATTATACTTTGTAGTAGTATGTGCAAGTGCGTTTGACTTTTGTATGTGTAACATATTCGTTTGATGTGATCAGATATGTTTTAGTTATATAAATATAAATGATCTTTTTAGTATTTTCTTCTCTGAACAGTGATATTTAATTTTGTTGAGAAAAAAAACAAATTCTGCTGCATAGATTATTCATTTAATTAAAAAAAATTTCCAAAAAAACTATTTACAAAACGCACTAACCAAACAGTGTTTATTCAGAACAGGAGAACAGAGACAAAATGATCAATTTTTTCAGAATCAACTGTTTTCCATAAGCGGTTTTCCATAAGCGCCAACCAAACAGTCAGACAGCTTATCCGGATCAGCTGATAATCAGCAGATTATCAGGATAAGCTGCTTATCAGCAGAAGCTGGATAAGCTGCAGCTGTCCAAACAGGCCCAGAGTCTCCAGAGTCCTCCTAAGCAAATTTTTTCCAAAAAACGCCCCCGCACCCTCATTTTGAAAATTTTGGCCTTTGTCTTGTCATCTATCTTCGGTTCTCGCCCCACTACCAATTCGTCTCAGAGTCGAGGAGAATATTTCTTCCATGTTATTCAAGTGTTATTGTGATGATATTGATGTGTTATTGTGTTATTATAACACCAAAAATATTCTTAGAACACAATAATATATGAATAATACACAATAACACATGAATAACACGAAGAAAATATTCTCCGTGTTACTATGTCGTTCCCCGTTTTTTTTTTTCTGTGTGGCGCAGGGGCGTTATTTTATTGGCTATGCCCTCCCCGTGTTATTCATGTGTTATTGCATGTTATTTCTGTAAAATAATGCCCCTGCGCGACAGAGAAAAACCCTAAACCCTAAAATAAGCATTATTCATTGGGTGATGTAATATTTCTTCCAGAGTCGCAGGTTCTATCAATGGCCTTATTAAAGTCCTCGTCTTCTTGTTTCACCCCTCCTGGCACAAGCCGTGGTTCTGCTTCTGTCCCTCTCTTTCTCTCGGCTAGGTTTGCTTCTCTCAACTAGCTGTTTTTTTTTATTCCTACATTTTTAACCTTGGTGGTTGGGCATCATCCGCGGTCATCTGTGGGTTTCCTATATGATTATGATTTTGTATCATGCATCGAAATATCGAGCTTACCTGCTTCGAAATATTAGGTTTTCTTTTAGTATACTGATCTATTTTGTGATTGCAGATTGCTTTTGGTTGTGTGGAAGCTTAGATCAAGCTGCGATCATGGAGATCACTAACGTTTCGGAGTATGAGACCGTTGCCAAGGAGAAGTTGCCGAAGATGGTTTTTGACTACTATGCTAATGGTGCGGATGATCAATGGACTCTCAAAGAGAATAGGGAAGCATTTTCCAGAATACTGTGAGCTTCTATTTGCATGACTTTTCTACCTTAGTTTTAGGCTGACAAAAAGAATCTAAACTCAGAATTGGTCAAAATCTGACTTGCTTTTTTGGAATAAATTCAGGGTTCACTTTTTAAAATCGAGATTCATGTGGCTTGATTGATGTGTTTGAATTGACTTGCTTGAATTTAATTTGGAGTCAACTTAGATTAAATCATTTCGATTCTAGCCGGCTAGAATAGGATTATTTTGATTTCTAATCTAGTAAGAGTAGAGTTGGGCTACAATTTCAAGTATAGCCCAATTAGCTTGAACCGGAATATCAACTTAATCTCTTTATGGTGGTTGAGAAAATGACGTTGGTTCTAGTTTACTCATGTTGCAACTCATGAGTTTTTGCTAGTCTATAGCTTTTGTATTGTCACATTGTCACACTTTGAGTACGGAAGGCGACACATCCAGATAACACAATACATGCTGAAATAATTTGAACCTATTTTGTATTCTTAAAGGTATATTATATTTAAATAATAACAATAAACAAAAAAACATAAATTTATTCCATAATTAATAGTCTACTTATACAGTTGAAAAAAAAATGACTGAAACAAAACTGTAATGACATGAAAAACAACCACACAAGTCCGAAACGAAAATACGATAATTATAACAAATATTAAAAAATATAAAATCTAAAATATAAGGTTTTGCTTAGGTGGAGACCACCGTGCTAATGACTTAATAAAATATGTTATGCAAAAATATAATCGAGTGAATTTAACATCCAAACTCGATAAATGACAACTATTTATTAAAACATAAACGAAAAAAATAGGGCATTCACTGTGAACAATAAATATGAATAACTACTATTTGCATTTATATTATATAAGACAACAAGAGCGTTGCAAACATCAAATATGCTTAATTATCATAAGAAAATATATAATGATTTTAAATTAAGTTTTTTATTATTCAATTTTCTTTCATATTTATATGACCAATTTTAACCGACATTTTGAAACTGGGAAGGTCAATACCAATCCAAGGAAACCCGTAGATTTCTTGTAGACATTCTATGGGCTCATCGACCCGACTAGCCAATATCCAAAGAAGTTTCACTGACCTACGTAACATAACACACAAATATAACAAAATTTTCACAAGTATAAGATGTAAGAAATATGCTGTTTTTTATAAGTTTGTGATATAAATTTACATGTAATTTTATGAAGATAAAGTGCATGAAAAGAAAATATTATAATTGTAAGATTTGTTCATGTATTTGAGAGTTTTGTCGCAATAAAATAAGACGATGATAATTTCAACACAAGCAATAATTAAAGCCTATAATACGTGCAAAATAATAATTATAATTGAAGTAGCATGAACATGACTGACGATATTATAAAACAAATATGAATCTAGTACAAACAACAATGATAATGCCCTTAAATAGCAAGGAAATGTTTATCCCTTAATAAAAATAGTTACTTATCTCGAGGTGACATTCAAACTTAAGATATTTTAGTGGTTCAACCAATGCTTACTAGCGATTCCTACAAAAATCAAATTCGATAAGTATTAACAATCACACTATTATTAAAACAAATTATTTCTTCAGTTATTTGCAACTTAACTAGCATTTATTAATATTAATAATAATAATACAAGAAGCAATATGGATTGATTTGAAGTCAACTTACTGTGATACATGAAAATAGCCAAATGATTATAACAATAAATCTATTTGATTTAATATTCACTGACAATATTATTTAAAGAATGAGCAGAAGCAATAAAGAGTGAAGTGCGTACTCTCAGCTTGACTATGGTTAACGAAGGAGAATTAATAATAAACTCAGCTCTAAAGCTGCTGTCTTTGGGCAAGCAGGACAAAATGGGGTGAAAGATTGGGATTTCAGTGGTTTCTACACGTTACGATCCCATTGCGCGTCCTATACGCTACGATTCCATCGTCGCTTTCTCGACTAGCTCTAATCATTACCTTATCACAAGGGTTCGATCATTAAGTCGATGGTTTTTGGAGAAACCGTGAGAAAGGGACGGGGACTGACAAGGGTTTTGACAGAGGGTGCAGGAGGAGGCAAGCGAGGTGAGGCGAGGTTGTGATGCCCTAACCTGCTCTTAAATAAAATAATGAGGTAGTAACTTGAGGTGGCAACAGAAACCAAGAAATCAAGTGCAGAAAGGGAAAGAATTGCGTGGAGGTTTAGGAAGATCAATTCAGAAAGCCAACATAGAGCAAAGGAAGAAAATGAAAGAATTGCAAATTGGGAAGTTGATAAGGCAGCAAGCAAAGATTGAAAGAAAATCAACGCTTACATACTATCATCCAAATTTATATCTTAGTTCTAGAACTGCTGTAAGTACTTCATGACCATCTTATCTTCAATCTCCCAAGTTGCATCTCTTTTTGATTGGTCCTTTCAAATCACTCAGACAAAGGAATAGATCAGTGGCAAACCTGTCGAACTTAACGTACCTATATGCGATCTGGTACTTCTTTATAACTCAAGTCTTCCCGAATCACCAATGACTCATATTAGATAGTATGAGTAATTATTCACATAACATCGAAGTAGAGAGATATGAAAGACATTGTGTGCTCCAACAAGTTTTGGAGAAAGTGTCAAACAATATGAAATTTTACTGACTTTCCCGAGCACCTTGAAAGGACCAATGAAACAAGGCTGAAGTTTTATAGTATGACCAAATCGTGTAACTCCACAAATAGGTGAAACTTTCAGAAACATGCGATTTCTAATTTTGAATTCAATCTTTTCGTCTTTTGGGTCGAAGTACTTATGATGATCCTTGATCACACTTAGTCGATCTCGAATCTAGCAAACTTTTGCTATAGCTTAATTCACTAGTTGTGGTTCAAATAGTTGTCTCTCACCGAGTACGAACCACTGTCGGCCGTTTTTTTTTTAATTTTGGTGATTTGAAAAAGTGAATGATTTTGTGATTTTGAAAATAATTTAAATATAAATATAACCTTTTTTGATTTTTTAAATGTAACATTTTAATTTTAAAATAGGTGAGATCAAGCGGGTCTCACATTTAAATAGTTTAGATGATTGAATATAATACTACAGGTAACACACTTATCCCGACGAATAAATATATCACTTGTAATAGGGATTCAATCACCTAGACTAAAAAATTTGTGACATTCATATTGGTCTGCGAAATATTTTATAAAAAGGCCAACAAGTTCCCCAATTTGTGACATCCGTTTTGATCTGCGAAATATTTTATAAAAAGGCCAACAAGTTCCCCTATCTAACATAAAAATTAGATAGGGTTTATTTTATCTGGGTTCCTGGTTCCCTATAAAGGCAAGCCCCTATAGTTAATTATATCTTAAATGATCGAAATCACTTAAGAAAACTCTCGATTAAGATCAGATAGTTTTGCCTTCAAGATTTCAAAGTTTAAGTTTTCATGATTGGACATGGGGAAAACCAAATGGGAATAGCTCAAAATAGGAACAATTATTTAAGGAATCCAAAGGGAAGAAAAGTAGAGGATATCACAGTTCTGGGGAAAACCCCGGTGAACTCCCAACTATTCTGTTGTTTGGCTTTATGTCTTTGAAGTGATGATTATTTGATATTTCAATCCTGCAAATTATTTAAGATTTATGACTTATGTTTGCACAACGTCAGACTGTGCAAATAGCCTAAAAGACAGGAGGATTTACACCGTACCGTACGGTAACCTCGGAATCCTAAAGCGTTAGGACTTATAATTGTACAACAAAGTTGTACAAAAAGCCTAAAGAGTGATCCTATATATTGTTATTGAAACTAAAGATAATAATAGGTGATGTGAATGTGTTCATGTGATGTGAAGATGTTTCGTTGCTACAGATCCACCTGGAAATTGATCCTCGCCGCGCTGCCCACGATGTTCGCTCCGAACTCCTCGTAGTAGCACCTCCTGGTTTAGTTTTGGTTTTGAACATGCTTATAACCACTAGGTTATTCTAAACTAAGGCATAACATATCAAAATAACTAAGCATGCAGTATGAAAGAACAATAACAATGTACTGTACAGTAAAAAAAAAAGACAATATAATATACTGAAAAAAGAACATGACGTGCTGTAAAGAGTAGTGTTAGGAAGAGCAGAATAACATGATTGGGAAGCAGTATAACAGACTATAAAAATAATATAACATGCTTTAAAATAAAATGCTATAATATAAATTAAACCTGTACACCTGAGAGATTCATTGCTCCTTTAAATTTAGTTATTATGCGCTGTGTAAAAGACTTAACAAAAACAGGTAAATCATAGGAGAAAGACAAACAAATAAAATAAAATATAACATCATATATAAAGGACCAATAATAGGAAATTTATATGTGATATTGGAAT